GCGCTACCACGCCCGGCTGATTTTTTGATCTATTGTAGAGATGAGGTCTCGCTGCCCAGGTGGGTCTCGAACCCGCGGGCTCAGGCAATCCACTCACCTCAGCCTCCCAAAGGCGTGGAATTACAGGCTGAGCCACCGAGCCCGGCAACTGTAACATCCTTTAGATGACCTCATTCATGCCACAGTGCTTGACCCCACAAGGCCCAACATAACAGAGTTCGTTTTTCCTCCCACCATGAAGTAATCTATAAAATAAGCCCTCTGCATATAGCCCAACTATCTATACATATGACTAGGGGGGTTGGCTCATTCTTTATCATAAGCCATACAGTTCATAACTCTGCCTATTGGCCATTATGGTGGGCTCCAGTTTCCCACCAGAGGGTCTCTGTTGATGGCTGGAAAGCTACTGCCATCCACTGTGTTGGATTTCCTTGACTAGAGCCATGCATATTCCACACTTCTGCTGGTATGGGTGGGGTCCCTTCCTTTTGTGGGCTAGGCACTGGTTCTGTGAGAAGTGTTGCTGCCATCAACTTGGTGGATAAGTCACAGCATAAATCACAGGTTCCAAAATGCGCGGCCACTCAGCACTTAAAGGGCTTGCACTCAGTGAGCTTTGTTGTTCCAGTGATGGGTTCTATTGCCCACAAGGTGAAATAAACGGCTGCCAGTTACTTTTCTATTAAAGTGTGACATGTCTCGGCCCCTTTCCATAGCTGAGACCAAAATCCGATTGATTGCCATCATCTTTCACTTGTCTGCCATAACCGCCAACCTTACCTTCATTACTTAGACATCTAGGTCACCAGGTCAGGCAGGATCATATCCCACCAAATCTTGCGCTCTGGTGACCACCCATGTGGCCACTGAGAAAGACTTTGTCTATTCATCCCATGCCCACTTGATACCCTTTTCACCAGATAATATAAGGGTATCAGAATTTGCACCAAGTGCAGTATAGAAGCTCTCCAGGACACTAAAACTTCTAAAAAAACTCCCATAGGGCTTTAATTGTAGTAAGAGAGAGGAAAGACTATACTTTATCAAAAATAGCCTCAGGTATCACCTTTGTCTTATTCACCAAACAACCCCCAAAAATTTGACCAATAAGCCAGGCTCTTGGATTTTCAAGGTATTGACTTCCGGGCCACACTTCTTTAAATGTTTTAACAAACACAGAGCAGCTCTCTTGGGGGTCATCTCCCTATTCCTAAAGGCACTTGTACTGCTTTGACCCCGAAAGTTTTACCACCGTATCCGTCAATAGCCAGAGACAGTCCCTTGAATTTCTCTGGGTTTCCACATTCAGCACCATGTCTACTGAGGCCAGTACTCTTTGTATCTGAGACTCCCTCTCCCATGCCTCCACCTGCAGATGGAGGTGAGTCTGCCTGGGGGGTGGTCAGAAACATCCACCCTGTGGC